CCAGAGTTAGACGGGGGTTTGTTCGCTCTACGGCTAAGGTGTCGGCCGACCCATTTGGCTTTTTTCCCGCACGGGAGCGCTGTTTTTTTCAGCGTGATGAGCTTCCATTTGACAGCGCCCTGCCTCGGCATCCTCAGCCCCCCCCGTCCATTTACAGCCACCTCATTCACTTTATTGCCTTTCGCTGATGGCAGCACTGTGAAATGTTTGTGAAATCAGGGCAGGGGGCCAGAGTCAGGGGACAAGCGGGGGGGGGGTATAATTGGTTGAATTTGTACCCCCATCTTTCTCGGTAACCCTAGTCACGGTGAACTTAGCCGCCCTAGATTTTCGTACCCGCCCTTGACTTTTTTTTCTTATTTTAAGCTATGAGTTTCCTAGGGATCTGAGTCAATCTGAACCAGCTACTCTAAAAGTCTGAGTTTTGACTAGCACAGGGTTGAAAGAAATCTCTTCGCTGTCAGCTTTCAGTGTCTTCTGATGCCGCGGACGCGCTCACGCCGACCACAGGGAGAGTTAAATTTAGCGTCGGCACCTTGAGGCGCGTGACACTGATTGACAGGCAGCTGCGGCTAATGATGCGTTCCGTTGCTCAACGCGTCGCCCACGGCGGTCGCCTTCGGAGGGGTTCTGAGCTTTGTTTTGTTTGAATCGCCGCCGTAAACGCTGCAGAAAGCGCCGTTTTTTTTACTGTTTGGGATTACGATTTTCCAGGGAAACAAAATACCATCCCGAAAACTGAAACTTTTGGGCTAAAGTAAAAACCCAAATAGTCCTATTTTACTTAAAAAAAACTTTACCCCATTCAAACTTTGTAGTAATGCATCAGTATGGCATGGAATGTTTTTGGGTTTCCATATTTCTATGATCAAATCAAAGCTATATGAATGCATTTAGACAAATACGGGTGAATAAATCGAATTATCTTTTACATAGAGATGCGTTGTTTATATGTGGCAGGTTGTCTTAGGTTAGTTTAGGCTTTGCAGGCCGACTAAGGCTGAGCCGGTGCAGTCTGTATCGGGGAATGCCGCATTTCCATCGGCTCCCTAATGAATAATGACTGAGCCAATGACAAGCGTCTGTAATCCTGACGGCTCACTCTTCTTTTTCTCTTGAACTCCCTTTTGGACATGGCAGCAGCAGGGCAGTGACTGATTGGGCCGTTACTGCAGTATCTGTGCCAATCAAAGCCATCCACTAACATGACAGACGCGAGGGGCCCTCAGGTCAGAGAGATCCTGATGGGCTTGACATGACCTATGAATGGAGGAGTTTGGGCTTTACATTCTAACCCAATGATTGGTTTTCTCCCAGTAGCCTTTTTCTATCAAATGTTAAAAAAAAAATTTCAAGGACCCTCCTGCAAAAGGCCATTTTGGTATGAATTAAACCCAACAGTATTTGATTTATTTGGAATTATTCTCAGTGCTTCAAAGTACCTCCGTTTAAAGTATGTCCTCGGCAGTAAATCTGGCGCTGCTTCATTTTTATGTTTTCCAACCGTTTTCCTGGTTTTATTGCTCCCATATTGGTTTTGGTGGAGGTTGTAACGGTTTTCTATGTTTGGTACCGGTAATTGAAATTGGTTTAGTTTAATAGGATTGAATGAGATTATGCCGTCCATACATTCGCTGGTATTAAAAAAAACCTATATCCATACACGAGTTCCAAAGTGAAAGTTTGTTTTCTGTATGCAAGTTACATGTTATGCACACTTTCCTTTTCTAAATCTCTTTGCCGCTTTGCGTGATCTCCTGAAAACGGTACAATAGAAACTTTCTCTGGACGGCTAGTAGCTTCTGGGGCTATTTAGACTGCATAGCTGATTTAATGTGCTCAAAAGTCTGTGGTATAACATTTAGAATCATAATCAGTCAGAATAACATAACAGGTTGAATTGAAAGTAGCATTACAGCAACACTAGATCCTAAACCAGACTTTATTCTTAGATTTTCCATTTTTAAAGTACAGAATATTCGACAGACTTTAACAGCATTTTGGATAAAACTGAAGGGAAAATAATGAATTCATGACATTTTCCTTTTTTCCTTACATGGCTGACAACATGAGCAGAACTGACAAAAGAAGCAAAACTATCAGATGTAAATGGATTATCAAAGAACCGAAAAACAAACAAACAAAAAAAAAAAAACACACTTTTTCCAGAATTAGCCACCTTCAGATTATAGACGAGGCTTTACGCGATTCGGATCTTTAACCAGAACCGAAGGGAACCGCGCAAAAGAGGCGTCCCTTTTTTTTCCTGCAGCCGTACAGTGTTCAGGTTCAAATGAAAGGAGATTGATGTTACTGCTAACCTTGGCTGTGCGCCCTGCCTGGCTGCCCCTGTAAGCCATCAGTCTGCCGGGAGTCTGACTAAAATATTAAAGAGCCTGCCCGCTCCCCACAGAGGGTGCAATGTGTGTCAGGGCTACGGCGGATACTGTATGCAATGCCTGGACACGTACTGTAGGTGACAGAAGAGCAGACGATGATTCTCATTATAAACCGACACTCACGCGGCGCGATAGAGTTATACTCCCGACTATACATTCACTCATTCTATAATTACATCCTGTTATTATGAATGTAATGCCCTTAGAGCGGTGTACAGAACACAGAAGTCACCTCTAACTATTCTTCATTGTCGTAAGCCCACTGAACCCCATCCTATAATTCAGCAGCACCACAGTATTGGATGAAGTGATCCCATGTTAGAGGCAACAAAGAGTAGACATAGATACTGCTGAATGTATGCTTTAAAAGGTGAAATAAATGAGTTAAAGTTACAAAAAAGACAGAACAAAAGGATAATAGGGTGGAAAAAGGGACTGCTTGCTCAATAATTGTTATCATCTCAGTTATTTATAGCCTCTTACTAGTTACTTCTGACACTCATTTTCAGACCAGTCATAGTCAAAGCTTAGTTTAGTCCTTTTCACTTAACTTGCACATTTAGTAACAGTTTGTAATAAGAATTTGTGCTTGAAAATCGAAAATCAGGAGCAGTGGAAACCATTTCTCCTTTTGCCAGAGATGTGGTCGGAGCATAGGCGGGAGAAATTCTTTGTTCAGTTGTGAGTTTAAAACAAAAAGAAACCGAAATAGGTCCTTACGAAATTACTCCATTCCCAGGTATTTCTCACTGGTTGATTATGTTTGGCAGCCATTTATGGTCCGGGTGAAGTGTTGTACGTGTGGAGCTATAGAGGCCACACGCTGACGAGGAGGATGGCGTTTTAAGCTCTGTGCAGCTCACAGGAGTGTTTTTTTTTTTCCCTCCTGCTCCCCGTCGAGGCAGCGCTTCACAGGAGAGCGCTGTTAATCGCATTCAGTGCATGAACGCTTAACCTAATATGCTCTTTTTTAATTTGAGCACCGAGTTAGGTCGTGTGACTAAACAGGTTACAAAAATCCTGGTGCGGGCTTCAAGTTGGATTCTGAACTGAACTATTAATGTCGACGGTACCGAGGAAATCTGGGCTAGATGTCAACAGTTAAGGAATATATTCACGTGGACATTATAAAAAGGTTTATATTTCTTTTCAAGTGGACGATGTCCATGGGGATGGTGAAAATGCTCTTCATAGGCCGGGCAAAGGCGGCGAGGTCGTCCTCGTGTTATCCTTTAATGGCGCATTAACTGAACTCTTCTAAACCGGGGTTGGTTTTAATCAACCGTCTGCCAGTTGTCAATTTCATAATACATTAATAGTCCGCATGCATGAAAGGCATCAGGAGGAGGAGCGTGAAGGTTGATTCGAAATAGAAATTTCATGGTGAGATGGGTGTTTTGACTGACAGGGGAGGTATGTGTGGGCATAAACACACATAGTTCCCCTCTCCTCTTTCATGTGTCACTCCCCCACCTCACGGCATAACAAATGCGTGAGGTCCTAAACACTCCAATGGAGGGAGGTTATGGGAAAACTGAGGTGGTAGTCCAGACCCTTGAGGGGCTGGAAACAAGACAGATGAAAGGAAGGAGGCAGAAAGAGATTGAGAGGGAGAGATGAAGTCAATGATGTGAGTCTAAAAACCTCTTTTAAGATATGATGAAACAGCAGCCGCCGAAGTAAAACATGCTGATGGAGGAATTTAGGTTTTGATCAATTCCGTCTCGGTTGCCGTCATTTAAGGGGGATTTTTCATTTTTTATTATTCTGTTCGATATCAGAAAGGCTGTGAGCAGTTGAACCCGATTTCGGTGACAGGCCACTGAGTGGGAATAAAGCCATCAAGGAAACTGTCGAGAAAAACAAAGAGAAATGAGTCCATGTGAGGCTGGAAAGTGAGTGAAAAAGGGAATACTGACACCTGATTGATGCCATAGAGATTTAATTAAGTGTGTGTTTGCATATGCCTTCCTCTAATAATGAACCCAACGAAGCCAAGTTCAGAAAATTGATTTAATACCAACTCTAATGTACTGATTTGGAAAAAGCTGATATTGAGGAGAAATCCCAATTTCACGGGTCTCTCGTTGATTGGTCCTATGTATCCTTAGTGTAATTTAAAGTCCATAAAAAAGGTTGTGCTCATTTCCGACCGTATTGTTTTCTCTTACAAAAGATTTAAAATCCTGACTTTTGTGGCCTTTCGTTCATTGGATTTAGGCTATCAGAGGAGCTACTTTGTTTAGGGATTATTCTTCAATATCCTGTTAAGACAGCAAATTCAGGTAGAAAGCAAAGAATCACACCGGCTAAACCTGGACATGTTAACATTGCTACTAGTCCAGTCCATTTGTTGTATTTATAGAGATTTCGATGTCCATATGTCCAGTCAAGCCAGTAATCTTTGTTTGGCACCCAATTCTCCTTTAGAGCTGGACCAACATGTGTCTGACCTGTGGGCAACTTTTAAAAATGAATGACACGACCATCCCACTGGAAAATATCTATGAGATATCTCTTTGATTTCCACAAAAATCCAAGAGGTAACCGTCTGCCTTTCCAACTTGTACCATGTCAAATCCTCTCTGGCCCGTCAAGCAGGCGGTCAGAGAGCTCAGACCAGTCTCAGACCAGCACCCTCTCTCACGGAGCCCCTGAATTAGCACCCCCCGCCCACCTACATCTTCCTTGGTGAGCATTTATGGCCAAATTAATGTTTGTAAAAGCCAGAAAAGAAAAGAAATAGGATTGGTTTATTCACATGTATGTAGAAGCAGAGTGCAGGTGGGAGGGTGAGGAGGTGTGTCCAAATGGTCATTTGGAGTTGAGAATAATCTTGTTAGAGACAACAGCAGTTGCAGATTTAGATAATTCTATGATCTTGGTCGACCAGGCCCATTATATCTTCAGGATTGCATTTACTTTACATGGATGGTACAGACTGCCTTTGTCTTTCTTATACCACTTTAGAGCTTTGACGAGAGGAATCAATGGTTTTTAAGCTGCCTAGCTGGTTTGCATTTACGTTTAAAAAATGTCCAACCAGTGTTGTAAAAAGAATGCCTTTGTGTCTTAATGACAGCGCTTTGTTTTTTTCTCCCTAATCACATGGAGTTACTAGCTAAACTCGGACAAAGATGTGTGGCAACTATAGAAAAAAATTGAATCGGTCAGGGTAGGTGACGGTCACAGTGCTGTTAAAATGTGCTGTTATTCCAAAAACCCTGAAATTACGACGCCTATGAAAAAACTTTTAGAAATCACTTTGTGAATTCACGGTTGAGTTCTTACGATTATATATCTTAGTTAGGATCAGAGGACAGTCATTCCAATCACAAGTCTGTGTATGAGAATAGTCTCAAGTAACTTCTGGTTTTAATAATTGGATGAAAATGTGAAAAAACTTGAAAATAAAAACTTAAATACATACATAATCGGTCAGCATGGCCTTTACTGTCACCAGAGCAGTCCCTTAAGGGAGCACCAAGTAGCTAAACACAACACGTTGTACGGATTACCGCGGGCCTACGGTGGTTTCAAGATGTCCATCGCACGCTCATCACATAGTAGCCGAACACTACCGCAGAAATGTTAGCGTGCTAGCCCTGATGTCACCGTTTCAAATGGCGGCTTGAACGGCTGCGGGCCGCCTTCCACCATATCATTACCCGCCGCTGTAACACGCAGTTACTGTAGCGCTCCCCGCCTTCAATCAGCATTTTCCTACATCCACTGTGATGCGTCTCCTGGATTTTCTGCTCTCTTTTCAGCAATCCGGTTCCAAACATCTATACTGTGCGTCTGGTGTGCAGCGGAGCGCTCATGTTCCATGTGCAGACTATGAAAACATTTTTTTCTCTCGGGAGCACAATGAAGTAGCTGTCTATCTCGCTACACAGGCCGCCATAAATATTTATAAATAGGGATTAATTCAGGTTCAATGCCGCCTTTGAGCTGATTCCTTTTTGGTGATATACGGCGTGTCTGCCAAGGAAACTCATATCCAGATCCCCCCCCCCCACATTAGACATTAGGAAGAAATCACATGCCAGAGCCTATAACTGCCCCCCCCCCCTCCGTAACCAAAACACTTGTTGGGTGCTGGGTGGTGGGACACATTAGCATTCGCAGCACTATCATCAAATAGCGTTGAGGCCCACAGTGGCTGAATGTGGCTCTCTTTCTCCCTTTGGGATTTCCATGCAAACCAGTAGGCCCTCGGCACCGGGGGGGGGGGGGGGGGGGCCCCCCATTCCACCCCCGGGGACCGAATGCCACCCCAAACAGGGGGGGAGATTCGTACGACTTGTAGGAAAACGGCACTCGGATTGCCGCGCGCGCTTTTGCCACATCGTGTTTTTCGATTTGCTTTCGGGCGCATTACGTCTAATAAAAAAGCGCAGGTGTCGGTTAAGGTAAAGAACCCCCCGACTCGCTCTCAGTCGTAAATCAAGAAATAGACTTTGGACAGCTCAGCTGCCTGGATGATGTCATTTTCCATCACTTTTCAGACTCGTGTAAAATTGCTTCATCTGTCTTCGGGGAGCTCACAGGGTAATGCGCTGTCATAGATGTAAAAGCCGATACACTGCCGTGGGAGCGGAGTAACAATAACATCGCTTTTTTTTTTTGCTTTTATTATCACTCTTGAGCATGGAGACCACAGACCTGCAGCAGCACAGACTGTGATTGGTTTAAAAACTGTAGCGCCGATGCTAATTCTGCCCATCGGGCTCGACGCATTTGACTTTAGCATTGACTGACGGATCTACAACAGGTGCCAAATGCGTGTTTGTCCCCACTTCGACTGGGTGGCTATTCCTCTAACTGTCCGCATTTTTATTTATTTTTTCTCTTGGCTGCGTGGGGCCCATCTATATCAGCCGCCCTGGTGCAGTCCAGCAGGGTTTTTTTGGGGTTTTTTCTCTCTCTCTGTGGAGACTGTTGCCTCGAAACTGTGAAAATGAGGGTGAGCTCGGCTTCGCCCGCCGCTCGCACAGCTGTCACATGTTCACCATGCTTGAGTGGGAGGGTGAGCGAGCAGGTGGAGGTCGTTTGTCTGAAGAGGGGGTTGTCACAGAAGCTCCACCACGTCTTCACGTGACGGCCGGGGAACGTCCAGTCGACTGATTCTGATCACTCCGCTCACCACGTGGGTTCACCTCCTTCAAAGCAGAAAGAGGATTTTTTTGCTTTTCCACCCATGGCCTTGAAATCTGATGAAAGATAAAATGCCACAACAGTTCACAAAACACCACATAGTTGAACTTTTTCTTTGGAGAGGGACTATAGCATCAACAGGTCGATTTAATTTCTTTTTCCTGGTTTCAATCTTAAAGTAAGAACCCCCTCGAAGCTCTCTCGTGAGGTTTTCGTCACCTCCCACAACACGCCATGACACATCTCCAGTTTAGCAGTTTAAGAGGAGGGCAAACGAGCCATTTCTCAGTTTTTTCTATTTTGTTTTTTTACAAAGAGCAAATCAACCAATCAATCGGGCTTAAATCAACCCACAGGTATCATCGATTCTTTAAAACACAGACTTTACCGGCCTGTTTTAGATTTTAAAACCAGACATGATTTAAAGCTATTTTAATGTAGAAAAAGAGGTGTGAAGCTACCTACTGTTTATGCCATCTGTGGGCTAATCTGGAGCCCATTCCACCAGTCTGAATGTGAGTGGTTGCTCTTTAGTGGAAATTAAGCTTTTTTTTTCTTTTTCTTTTTAAATCCGGCTCGCTTTTTTCAAGTTGCATTTTCGAAAATATTTCGGCTTCTTCCCGAGAGCGTGAGGTGAAATGTTGCATAAGCTGAACTTTGTTGTTTAGTGTTGAAAATCGATCGATCGATCCTCTTCGTTGGCAAATTTTGGGAAAGGCAACTTTTGGTAAATGTTTTTGCCACAGTTTATCCTCTTTTTTTTTTTGGCTTTTTGAAATGTCCTGTTGACCTAAAATGCTGCACCATGTTCTCGGCTGGAATTTTCTACAATCTGGCTGCTCTTTGGGAAATTTGTTTTGCGTGTGGGATGAATGAAAATCAACTTGAAGAGGCTTTGTGACATTTGCTAGCGACTTACAACGCTATAAGTAAGATTTAGCAGGCACAACACTGAGTGACCAGATCATAGCGGTATCCTGGGGACCCTGTTTTCTTTCCTTTATTCCAGTCATGTCATGCCCATGGATTTCATCAGTTCCAAATCCATCATTAAGTTAAAGTGTGGAGCCTCAGTAAGTTATCCGTCCTGTGTTCTCTTGTTCATTTTACATGTCCTCAAGTTAATTCCAGTCCTAATTAACTACCTTTGAAAGGAATCTGTGCCATAATTACCACAAGGAGGTGGAACGGAAGCAATCACGCTCGCACAATTTATTCCCCACCGCAGGGAAAACCCCACAGAGTCACTCGCTGCCTTCTGTCCCCCCCCCCAGTCCCAAGAATCACCTTCAGCTCTTACTTTCGTTTGTAGGGAAACAAATCCACAAAACAATCCCCCGTTGGTTTTTGTCCGCTCTGGCATTTTTTGCACAGACAACTTTTAGAATAACAAAAAAAAACAAAAAAAACAAAGCAAATTAGTGCCAGAATAGATTGAGTTAGCACTCCCACACCATTAAAATAAGGAGGATGTAGAGGGAAAATCAAGTGACGCAGGAAAAGTGATGACTGAAAGCAGCAACAATCAAATCTGCTCAGCCGGCACACAAAAAACAAACAAACAAAACATAGTTATACACAATAAAGTAAAACTGGTGACGCCTTGTGTTATAATTTGCAGAAAAGGCCAACAGGAACAGTGTGTTTCTCTGTGTTTCTTCCCCATCAGCACAATCCAGCCCTGGTTGACTGCTTTCCCCCCTGAAGATGTAAATCTTTTAAAAAGGTCACTTATGTACATTGCTTAATGTTATGTCTCAGCCGGTAAAAGTTCCACAAGCTATGTTGAAAATCAAGGCTACTCTTGTGTCCCAAAATAATGTTGAAAAGGTTTACATTTTTTTCATATTTGGCCAAATATGCATTCACGTGACACAAAAGGGAAACGCATGGAATGTGTTAGCGAAACAATTAAAATTAGAGCAGTCGAGGGACACCAGTTGTGTGGTGTGAGCATTAATTAGGACGAGCTGAAAAATACCCAGTGTCATTTGATCCATGATCGATCCGATCCAAAAAGCTATTGCCAGATAATTGACATAAGACAGAAAAGCTGCCATTTGATCTGCAGAACATTTGAATATTTCTTAGTTACATAACACAACAGCCTTTAATGGTGTCCGCTCGCTGATGTGAGGTCAGCATGCTTTCGCCTTGTCCGATGTCTGACAGAAATGCTGTTATTCCTCCTCAGGATGTCAACCTCAACGGGAGTTTTAATTCTTCCCGCTCAACATTTGCTTCCCGTTCGAAAGGTTCCAGACACAGAGTCGATAGTGTGTAACCTTTGTTAATGCGTTTCAAATCAGTCAGCTCAAAACCACTTCTTTATCCACTTTTCAAAGGATCATAAAGGCCTCTGCCTCTCAAGCGAATTCAAACAAAGCCCTCGTGAGAACATGTGTAGGCTCCAGGCAATCTCCAGTGGGTGCCCCCTTACATTGTAAGGCCTCACAGTTGTGCTCAGTCCCTCACATTTCCAGTTTCCATGGTCCTTGCTAAGGCTCTGCGTTGGTTTTGTGAATAGGTTTACGTGGGGCCAAACCGGGCTCTTCTCCTAAAGCTAAGTTCTAATTTAATCAAACATTTCCACACAAATTCAATCCAAATCCAACCACCCTGCATGCAGCCTAAAGTTTAGCTTGTTTGGTGGGTCATTAGCTTCCCAGTATTAAATTATCCTTGTTTTTGTTTTGTTTAATTAACATATAATGCTCTGCTTTTGCCGACCACCTTGTAAAACTGAAACGCTGTAAACTGCCTTGTAAACCAGAAAAAAAGTCTGTTTCTTGGCTCTGCTACTGTACTAGAGAAAGGTGGTTAGCTCAAAGGTGCCAGTGCTCTTTTAATCCATCACTGAGGCCCAGCACTTGGACAATACCCTAATTTATGAGTCTATTTTAAGCTGAAAGGGGGAGAACGTCGAGCAGCCTCCTCTTCTGCTCAGGCGGAATTAGATTAACGTCTAAAGTCTGAGAGACGGACGACGCAAATGGCACGGCTGATCAATTGTTTTTGGCCAAATTAATTAACGGCCCTCTGAACTGTAACCTTTCATGGGTGTGAAGCACTGGCAGTGCCAGCACATGCCAGTGTTGTGGAGCTGTACAGTGAAGAATGTGGAGCGGGGAGACTTGTTTTTCCCAGAGAATCACTCCTGAACCTTTGGATCTTTGTGGACAAAGAGAAGGATTTAAACAGACCATTTTATGAAATGGCAGCTATTTAATTTTTTTGATTTTTTGGTCAAATGGCCAAAAAAATCAATGGTGGGCTTCATTTGGGTGCCATGATCTCACACAACCCAAATGGATTAACTATCAGAATAAACCAAGTTCCTCGAAAAACTATGTAAAATGTCCAATTATTACAGAAATTATTCTTTCAATTGCACACTTTCAAGTAGACTTGAATGCAGAAGTCAAATCATATCAGAGAGGACCCAAACTGTGTGTGAATTTAATGAGTACTTAGGTTAGTTGACGTGATTTAACTGTCAGCATCCTAAAAAATAAAGGCTTCACGGATGGTTTAGTCAACCATTTGCTTCTTTGCTGTGTGTTGGAGTAGAAGTTTGATATAACTCATGCCAGTACGGTACATAGAAATGCCATGACCTCCAACCCCTTGGCTTAAGTATTAAAAGCTAAAACCAGAACGAAAGCGAGCGTTACTCTGCACAAAGCCATCAGCCCCACGTGTGAACAACGCCTAATCTGAGCGCTGCTTCCGTCTAATCTTGTCCATTTGTTGGCCTCGTTTTTTGGGAGGACACGGTCGTTTAAGTGTTTACCATAAAGAGGCACTTTCGTGGCCGTCACCGCCATTATGTTGACAACCGTTTTCAGAGGGCGTGCGGAACACATCTCCACTCTTTATCGACAACTTTGTTTCTATTAGCCACGGGGAGGAGCCCCTTTCTGCAAAGCAATCTCAGGCCAATCTCAAATCAGTTGTTAGCTCGTGCACTGAAGCAAGAAAAGTCTCAGACTTGTTGCTCCTGGAGGGGTAACACCTCTCGTAACTGTTGGCTTTTCTAATCAAACAGGTCCATGCATTTTTTTCTGCAATTTTTGGGTTAGTGATACTTAAGAATTAATGCCAGCACTGAGGTTTCTAGAAGAAGTTAGTCTAAGATAAAGAACAAATGGCACCACCGTGGTTATGTCCACCTTTACAACCAGTGTAAGGTCACCACCTGCTAATGCACCGGTCAGCCTGCTGAGGCACGCTGACATTACTGACCGCTGATACCTATCAGGGAAAGTATCAGCAAGACTTCTACATGAATGGGAAAAAAGGGCCCATGCATCAAGGTAACCCTGTTAAGTGCTTTATAAAAATGGAAAAAACTCATAAACCTTTCATCCTTTTTTTTTCTTCTTTTTTTCTTTCTATTGAGATTCATTTCGACACACCGTGAAATTGACGGAAGAACCAAACTGATTGCAAGAGCAGGTGCAGCACGTGGAGAAATGACCTTGCGGATAGAAATGTTGTTATCTAACATATAACCCGGTGTCTTTAGTCATGGTTTGAAATAAATCCTGCAGCCAATCAGAGCACTTCGAATCTATCTGCTGTTTGATGTTTCAGAGAAGATGAGGCAGGAAAAGAATGGAAAACACTTGGCTCATTGCATTTGATAGTTCTCCTGAATGAATCAGAGTTAGTTTAATAGAGAGAAACTTTTCCTTTCAGATAGATTGTTCGGGGGTAAATGTCCGGTACTTGTATCCATTCCGTTCGCACACGACATCACAGATAATAAAACTTTTCTGGGATGCCGCTGGGATTATTCATCACACGGGTGGGATAAATGCAATTTTGGGATGATTTCAACTCAAGAAGTCCAATTTCCCCAAGGAATCTAACGAAACCGAACAGAAGGGACCGTTTTTGTGTGGTTTTGTAGTTCCTCGGGCTTGGAGTGTGGCCAGAAACTCCAATAGGCTTGAGGGACTGGACACCATCGGTTGATCAAACACGTTTTCCTTCCATTTCCAACCGTATCAAACAGTAGAACATTCATTTAAACATTTTAAAGCTTTAAAAACAAAAAGATTTTTAATTTCAATGCCTCACACATGTATCTTGATGATTCCCTGGGTGAAAGCGGCTCAGGTTTAGAGCTGTAATGGGCAGCCTGTTCCCGTGTCGTGGACCGGTGAGAACTTTCGCTTTGCCGTGCTCGTCTCTAATAAAGGAGGGGCGGCGGCGAACACACGGCAATGAAAGTAAATGTTGGGAATAAATTGTCGCTCCCGCGTGTCACCGCCGCACACATCACCCCTATCAGCGACCTCCCTCCCACCGCGGAGGGGCCTATAATTTAATACGACTGGGCCTCCATCACTGTTTACAGTGTTTGCCGGCGTGAGAAAAAGACCGGGCGCGACGGGCGAGCTGATTCACCGTCGCCCCCCGCTCCTGTCAGCAGAATCAACTGTTGTTGACTTTATATCTAGTTGATATTTCCCATCCCGGCCTCCCCTCTTTCACTCGCTCCCCTCTGAAGATTGCAGCTGTCAGAGTCGCTGTTGACGCGGCAGTGATGGAACGGCAAACCGGATCGCGCCGGCTGAAAGTAAATAGCAGCCTTTTCGGGGAGGGGTGGGGGGGGATTTCTTTGAATGTTGATCAAAGAAATAACGGCAGAAACTGTGGTCCGTTTTGCGACGCCGTAAATTCGCTGCCCATACTAACGATAATCACCTTTTCCGGGAGTCCTGACACGCCTTTTAATCGGGATTTCATTTTTTAATTGCTCAGTCAGCAGAATGAGTGGGGCGGATCAGAGTGAAGTTTGCTTGTCAGTGCTCGGGGAGCATTAGGCGTTCAATCCTAGCCCCTTTTATTTATTTTTTCTCCCAGATGGCCTAATAGATTGAACGCCTCCGTTCTAATGGAAATATCTGTCAACGGGCCAGAGTTTTTGGAAAAGCATGTCACAGCTGTCTTCCAAAAAATATGAAAACCTGAAAATCCCCCAGAGCTATTGAATTAAACACTACAGAACTGAAATGATGGGTATCTAGATGGAACCTGTTGAACGGGGGCATACCGTTGCAGGTCATGGACCAGACAAAAGAGAATTATAACCACAAAGAGGTTCAAGTTAACCCCGAGGGACCCGTTATATACGGAAGGCCACGTTTAAGATTGAACACATCGAAGTTAACTGCCTATGAACAAAAGTCACTCCTGCAAAAAAACAGAAAAAACTAGCATAAACATCTGGAAGACCCCACCAAACATGCACAAGAGGTTTTTTCTCTCTTGAAGAGGTGAAAATGAGGCCTGGTGCAGGCGGCACGCTTTGAATCAACAACATGCTGTGGGGATGTTTTTCATCAGCAGGGTCCTTTCAAAAACAGTCAAAACTAAAGGAATGAACAACGAGGCTAAATTCAAACAAATCCCCATTTTTGGAAATCATGGCTCGAACTGGCTGTGAATTGAGGGTGGATGGAGGCTCGCTTCTCAGCGTGACGACGGCTCTTCAAAAACAGCCATAAAGAAAAAACAAAAAACTCTCCCGCAAGCGCTTGAGGGAGAACATTTATATGTCTGGCAATGGCCTTGTCAAAGTCCAGCTTTCGGTTTCATGGAGAACGCGTTGGGTGATTAAAGACTTCAGCCGCTGGCGCAAACGGGGCCTGAAGGAGAGGCGCTTTGCACCAGACTTATTTATTCTGTGCTGCACTATTTCCACTGGTTGAAACAAAATTATGGAAATAAAATCGGACAAACCCTGAGAATATTAAAATCTAAAAATAGATGAATTAAAAAAACAAAGAAATGCACTGTTAATTTGAATGGATTCTGAAAAAGAAAATCTGTTTAAAGTCTTATATGAAAAGGCCATTATATCAAAGTCCAGCCTGAGCTGTTAAGCACGTCTGTCCTTTCTGATTCCAGGTCCGGTTGCTGTGATTAGCGGCGAGGAAGACTCCGCCAGCCCCCTTCATCACGTCAACCACGGGATCATCACCCCGTGCACCCTGGACGCGGGCCCTGACGCGGTCGTCATAGGGATGACTCGCATCCCCGTGGTGGAGAACCCTCAGTACTTCAGACACGGGCACAACTGCAACAAGCCCACCACCCGTAAGTCCTCTTTTTTTTCTCCCGGAAACGCCACCCATCGCCTATCACAGCCGCGCGTCTTCACCAGGCCTGTTCTAACGGTGGCACGTCGGTTTGCAATGAGCCGTGTTTCTTTGCGGCGTGGCCCTCAGGGCAGATGTATATTTCCTGACAGCTACAGAGTCTGTGTTGTGGTATAGAGTTAGCGGGCAGCTGGAGGAGTGCCAGGCCATACATTTAAGATCCGTTTAGAAACCTTTTAAGCCCCCTTCAGCATGCCGATAAGCAGCGTGTAGATACCCCACAGATCCCCTCAGTGCCCCAGGACTCATATCCCAGGTTGTGGTAAGACAAAAACCCACTTCAAAGGCCATTTTTTTCCAAAATGACATCGTCTATAAGAGAGAATGAGCAGAAAGCAACACTGCCTGCAGCTGGTCACAGCTTGATGCCTGCAGCCTCCCCTCCGGACGATATCCGTCCAGCCCCGACCCCGATTCAAGAAAAAGACGCTCCCGCTCTGGTCCGAACGCCACGTTTGGCTTTTCCGTCCGCCGCCCTGTCCAGCTCAGGCCCGGCTCCGTCCCAACATGGCTGCCGGTCAGGCTAACTTCTCCACCGGAGCCAATGAGAAGCGAGGAAATCCCATTTAGACGCGATGAATAAATGACGGGCCCTATGTATTATGAATCGCATGAATTTTTTAACGGCCAGCCGGTGACTGATTTATAACGTCTCACGCCGCGCTCAGGAGATCTGATCGCCAGCTAATGAATAAATGACAGTGGCCACGAATGAAACTTTTCCCCAGATCACCGCGCGCACGGGACGGGAAGTCGGGCCAAAGCACGTGCGCTCACCTTCGCCATGAGCCCCCACCCCCCGGCAGTACACGTGGGTTGTATGATTTTCACCCCCCCCCACCTAATCTAATTCAGCGCGCGTGCATATAAAAGCGAGCGGCGAGAAATGAACCCTGAATTCATCACAAGGTCATAATGGCCGCTGCTTTCCGCCGCCGGCGGGGAAAACACAATGGATCCGAACGGCTTCTGCCTCCGCCGATCATTCACCGAGGACGAATGCCGCCTTTACCCCCGGGACACGCACACGGGGGGAGGAGGAAATGTCTCTGTGCGTCCATGTGTAAACCTTTAGCGCGCGTTTAGGAAATGGATCTGTGCTCGGATGTTGACGGAGGCATGCCATCAGTTTTGGCTCGCAGGTGTAAAAATCTTTGCCAATGTGTCACTTCACGTACACACACACACCCCAACCCCCCCCCCCCCCCCTACCCCCAGCATTTTTCTGCACCCCAAACCCAACTATAGTAGACCCGTTCTGTCGATGTTCGACCACTAATCCATAATGTATTCATTCATTTACTTGAAAGCTTCTTATCCACAGGGATACCATGCTGCCACGGACACACACACACACACACACACACACACACACTGATAATTCGGGCCAGCAGCGGTCACAGTGGCTCATTCATCCATAAATACTCTCCTTACCTGTGTCCATCCTGAATTCCATAATGTGATGGTCGCTTTCCACGAGCTCCACCATCACTCCTTTTTTTTTGTCATTTCTTTGGTGCCTCGCTCTTGCGGCCGTGTGCATTTTTGAAAAATCATCTCCACTAATAATAATGAAAAGGTGGGGGGGGGGGGGGGGCAGCTTTTAGACGCTGATGCTGATGTTTCAAACTGCTGCGTGCGATAAAGAAACTGCCTCCTCAAAGCCAGTAATTCCAGTATTGGTTGTTCGAAGTCAATCCCAGCTAAATTATGTGTAGGTTAAAAAAGACATATGACTATATATTTTTGCACCAGTGGCTGTTAAGACCATTTTAGTTGCCCTCATGTTGAACCGGAGCTCCGGACTGGCCAGCCGGAACCCGATGAGGACGTTTGCTGAGACGAGCCCTT